TCAGACGTGTGCTCTTCCGATCTCCCCAAAACCCCAAAACCCCAAAACCCCATGGTTATAAGAATTTGAATAATTGGATAATTCAGAAATATGAATAAAATAAAATCTAATTTTTCCTCAGGCTATTCAATTTGGTGACTGTATAATTAGACTCTGCTGTTATCAAAAATATTTAAAAATCAATCTTACAATCCAATGGAAAGTATACAAAGAAAGAAATGCTGCTAGCTTGTCAGTCATATTGCTGGAAAATAATATCTACTGCCACTTAAAAGTTAAACCGTAAATGCAAGGATAATAAATTCAATAGCAACAATTGAAATAATTTAGATATTCTACAATAATTTCGATGATTTACTGGAAGTAACTCTTGATGTTCCAATTAATGAAGACTATGGGATAGGAAAACTAATAGTGTAAATTGGAGACGAAATCATTGAAGGAAAAATATTAGAGTAATACAAAGCTTAAGAAAAATATGAAGATGCAGTGGCCTAAGGTCATACAGCAATAATGGCTTCGGAAGATGAACAAAAAGATGAAATAATCAAGTTAACCATTGGAAATCTCTTACCAGGGTAAGAAGCTACAGTTCATCTTCAACTTCTCAATGTTTTAAAGATTGAAGGAGCAGCTTATTGCCTAAGAGTACCTCTGTACTACTTCCCTAAATACAGCTCAGGTCTAAGCTAATACAGCTATAAATTCTAAGTTGAAATCCTTTCTGACTCACCTGTTACTTATCTAGGCTATCCAAAAGATTCAAAGATGTTCTAAACGATTTCTGATAAAAATTTACTCCAAATTTAAATTGAAAAAACCTAAGATAATGTATTTTGTCTTGAGAATGATTTGATTGTATACTATAGAAATAATGATATGGAAAGCACTGTGCTCTATTCTTAAGAGTCAGATAGACATCCTAATTAAGTAGCAATTATGCTTTCTGTTGTTCCAAGTTTCATTGAATCAACTATCGAGAGCAGCCCATCTTTAGAAATTTTTGAAGATGATATACCTAATTCTTTAGATGTCGAATATGAAAACTCAGATGATTGCATGTTTATATTCTTAGTAGACAGAAGTGGGTCAATGTCAGGAGAGAAGATGAGAACTACAATTGAAGCTTTAAAACTATTCTTAAAATCTTTACCATCTAGCTCAAGTTTTGAAATAATTAGTTTTGGATATAAATACTCAGTACTTTCAGGCTAGAAAAATGGATTCAATTACTGTGATGAAACAATGAATTTAGCTATAAGTAAAATAAATCATTTTGAAGCTGACATGGGTGGCACAGATATATATCAGCCTTTAGATTACGCGATTCATGATATATAGACAAAACTTTAAAAACGGATATTTCTTCTTACAGATGGAGAGGTAAACAATAGAAAGTCAGTAATTCGATTAGCGAAGTAGTGTTCTTTTGATACCAGAATACACACTATTGGTATTGGAAGAGATTGTGATGCCAGCCTAGTTAAAAAAGTTGCAAAACAAGGAAGAGGATCATGCAGCTTAGTGCTAGATAATACAGATTTAAGTGCTATTGTTATTCTAGCTTTGGGAAGAGCTAAAGACCCATCTTATAGTAACTGCAAATTTACTCTGTCACCCAATCCAATCATTACCACGAATAATATGAAACATAAATTTTCAGGGTCTGTAGGCTACGAATTGTTTAGAAATGAAATCTTCCTGCTACTCTCAATAATTCCAAAGAGCGAATTCTCACAACTTAAATTAAAAGCATCAAGTGATATCCATCCAGTCTCAAACAAAGGGATTAATCATGTATGGAGTTCAGATGATTTTAAATAATTAGATAAAGGAGAAGAGCTCTTCAAAATTGCAGCAAGAATGAGAATTAATGAATTGTCTACACCTGCATTGAGATATCAAGATGTTCCTGAATAGGATATCAAAGAAATATCTCTTGAATATTAAGTTCTCAGCAAATACACATCATTTTTAGCAATTAGCAAGAATGATGAGAAGCCTATCGGATAACTTAGATAAGTCTAATTAGGGCAAAGCAACTATCTTGAATAAATTGAGAATCAAAGTTAGAATCTAAAATTGCCATATAGTTATAGTCATTCAACAAGCTAAGAGTCTATATTTGAAAAGATTGGCTATGCTGTAGTAAGCTTCTTTGGGTTGATTTAAACTTCTTCAGCTCCATTTCCTAATGAGATGGCAATAAGTTCAAGTTAAAATTATACAAAGAGATCAGAATAAGCTCTAAAGTAATTTGAAGATGTTAATTAACCATTATAAAAGGAAGAAGTAAGTTGTTATCCTTTAAAAACTTTTCAACAAAAAGGAAAAAGAGAAATTGTTCAAAAAGTACCTGCACCAATCGGAGATCAAGATGATAACAGTGAAAATGAAGAAACTTAATATGATAGAATTAGCTAACAAACTAAAGTATCGTGTAAGAAATAATCAACTTAGATTAAACTAACTTGTAAACAAGAGGAAGATAAGTAAATTTAAAATAATCACCATGAATCCAATAAAATAAATTCAGTAAGTCAAAGATTTATTGATCCACTTCAACTACAAAAACATACTAATATGAGTTAGAAAATGCCACTCGGTAAAATTTCATAAACAGAAATGATTCAAAAGAATAAGCCTCCTTAAAATCTAAAATTAAATATCAAATCTCCCCTAATAGATAGATAATCAAAAACTTATAATGATCTGATAATGGATTAGTCAAGTTAAGGTTATTGGTAGAGTGCATAGGTAATATAAAGCTTTATTGAGGAAGATATTTTCTCTGATTAAGATTTAATTAAAGAAATTAAGTAATTACTTAATGATCAGGTTGCTTTTGATTCAATTTGGATAACATTGCTTGCTCTTTATATATTGCAAAAGAAATTTAATTCAAAGAAGAACGAGTGGAAATTAGTTGCTCAAAAGGGTAATTTCTACATTAGATTATATGGAATAAAGAAGCCAGACAATTTCATCAAGAAGATTAATTATTAGGCGATTTGATTTTTTGAAAATTATCGAAACTAAATTTATCACTTCTGAATCTAATGACTAGGAAAAAACTGTAAAATAATAATTTTTCATCAGGAATAGAAATATTAGAGTAAAGTTCATATCCAAATGGAAAATTTGAAGAAAAAGATTTCCTGTCAGTTATTTGGCGATCTAAACGGAAACTAATATCTTTTACCTCTTAAAAGTTAAACAATCAATGCGAGAATAATGAATTCAATAGCGACTATAGAAATAATCCAATAATTCTTTAATGATACTTCTCAACCCTTAGAAGTCACTGTTAATGTACCAATAGAAGAAGACTATGTAATCGGAAAACTTATGGTTTAAATTGATGATAAAGTCATTGAAGGCAAAATATTAGAGAAATAGAAAGCTTAAGAGAAGTACGAGGATGCTGTAGCTTAAGGTCATACAGCAATGATGGCCTAAGAGGATGACTAAAAGGAAGAAGTTATCAAATTGACCATCGGTAATCTTTTGCCAGGACAAGAAGCAACATTACATCTCTAACTCCTTAATATTTTAAAGATTGAGGGAGCGGCATATTGCCTAAGAGTACCTCTGCACTACTTTCCTACTTACAGCTCATCTAAAAATTAATACAGCTATAAATTCTTTGTTGAAATCATTTCTGACTCCCCAGTTACTTATTTAAGCTATCCAAACAATTCGAAGATGGTCTAAGCATATTCTGACGAAAGCTTAATTCACATTAAAATAGAAAAAGCATAGGATAATGTACTTTGCCTTGATAATGATATGGTGATATACTACAGAACTAATGTTATGGAGAGCACTGCACTGTATTTTCAAATATCAGATAGTCACCCTGATTAAGTAGCACTGATGATGTCAATTGTTCCAAGCTTCATTGAATCGACTTCTGTAAGTTCATCTTTGGAAATATTTGAAGAGGAAATGCCCGATCCTTAAGATGTCTAATATATAACCCCAGGCGACTGTATGTACATATTCTTGGTTGATAGAAGTGGATCAATGTCAGGTGGAAAGATGACGACAACTGTAGAAGCACTTAAGCTATTTCTTAAATCTTTACCTCCTCGGTCTAGCTTTGAAATTATCAGTTTTGGTTCTGATTACACAGTACTCTCCTAATCAAACACTGGCTTCGAGTACAATGATTAAACAATGAATAGTGCAATTGATACAGTATCTAAATTCAATGCTAATATGGGAGGAACCGAAATATTCAAGCCTCTAGAGTTTGCTATAAAGAGTATATAGACAAAACTTTAAAAAAGAATATTCATGCTAACAGATGGAGAAGTAGATAATAGAGAGAAAGTCATCTAATTAGCTGGCTAGTGTCCCTTTGATATCAGAATACACTCTATTGGTATTGGAAGAGATTGTGATGTGAGACTGGTTTCAGAAGTTGCAAGAATTGGAAAAGGATCATGTAGCCTTGTACTAGATAATAAAGACTTGAAAGCAATTGTGATTTAAGCTCTTGGTAGGGCAAAAGATCCATCCTACAGCAATTGCAACTTCATTATAACTCCAAAGCCTATCTTAAGTGCAAACAATATGAAATACGAGTTATAAGAAAAATAAGGATTCGAATTATTCAGGAATGAAATCTTCTTAATGCTTTCAATAGTCTCAAAAAAAGATTTTAAGAAGCTTAAACTCTAATCAAAAAGTGATATCCATCCAGTTTCAAATAAGGGAATAAATCATGAATGGACTCAAGGTAATTTCAAATAATTGGATAAAGGAGATGAACTTTTCAAAATTGCTGCTAGAATGAAAATTAATGAACTCTCAAACACTGTCTAGCCTAATGAAGGCGTAAACATAACAGGTATTTAGGAATTATCCTTGAAATACTAAGTATTAAGCAAGCATACTTCATTTTTAGCAATTAACAAGAATGATAAGAAGCCTGTAGGTGAACTTAGATAAGTGAAACTTGGAGGGGAAAATTAAATTCTAATGGATTAAAGTCTGTAATTCTATACTAACAAAAAAATGTTAAAAAGTGCTAAGCCTTCTATCTTTAGTTCATTTGGTAATGGATTAAGAGGCTTATTTAAATCAAATCAAACCTCAAATGCTCCTATGCCTATGTTAAGAAGTGGCGCAAAAAAAATGTCAAGAGGTGTACCTAATCACCAAAAATAAGATGTAGATCTTTTTTCATCTTCCAAAGAGAAATGTGATTCAGTTGAATTAGATAAAAGTCAAGTAAAATTCATGAAAAAGATGGTTGAATTCAATATTTCGGATTGTGAAGAAGAAGATGAAGAAAGTGCATTAGAGGAAATAATGTCAGTCAATTTAAATCAAATATCAAATTAAAACCTTTCTGATTAAATAGAATAATTGATCTATCCTATATATGAAGAAGAGGAAAAAGAAATGGCATCAATGCAATAAAAATAAATGGTAAGGTGTACTGAGATGAGAAGGGAAATTATGTCTCCACTTTCTTTGAGTGGTATGATAACTCCTCCAAATGTAAACACCTTTGAATCAATGTAGATTTAAGCTTCAGGTGCTTTACCTAAACTATCATAGAAGCAGTTAGATAATTCTCCTAAAATGAAAAAAAGCTCAATCAAGAGATAATCAAATTCTTATGATGATTTGATAATGGACCAGGCAAGTTTAGGGTTTTGGAAGAATATTACGATTATTTAATCTTTCATTGAGGAAGATATTCTTACCGATCAAACTTTGATTTCAGAGATTAAGCAAATACTTTAGGATTAGGATGCTTTTGAATAAGTTTGGTTTACATTGCTAGCTCTCTACATTTTACAAAAGAAATTTAATTTGAAAAAGAATGAGTGGTCGTTATTAGCTCAGAAGGGCAAAGACTATATTAGATCATTTGGATTACAGAAGCCAGACAATTATGTCAAGAAAATAAACT